TTTAGAATATTATTTCGTTATAAAATGAAACAAAATAATTGTATTTGGCACAGGAGGTTCGTTAATGTGATTTTTTGGGAAAAAGATGCGCGGTCTACTTTTCAATCCAGTAGGACAAAATGTATACAATTTAATAAATTGCATTAGCGTCTTTCGTTTTGGGTGGTCAAATTGCCGGCGTTGAAAATCGACGTAGGTGGATTTTTCAATGAAAATATAAGCCCTCTAAAAATATTTGATGATAATTTTTTGAAATTTTGAACCCCAAATAAGGGCCCACCAGCCGTGAAACCGCCCAAGGCGATTTTTCGGATGGGCCAATTTACGGCAGAATCCGGTATTTGTTCCCCGGGAAACTATAATCAAGTAATACAAATGGTGTCACTATGCAATATTTTTGGTGTAACTTTACATTTACAAAACATTTAAGTATGTCTCATAAGAAAGTTTTCCAATTTTCTGCTTAAACATGTTTTCAACGAAAGAATTCAATAGGTAGGTAAAAAATACAACATATTTGAGGAAGGCGCGACATTGCACTTTTTAACGTTATTCGATATTATCGTCTAAGTTAGACAAGTCTTTTTTTGGGCAACTATTGGGGCAGTTTTTTTTTCTCCGATATTATTGATAATATCGTATAATAATGTCTAAGTTAGACAGGTCTGTCTGGGTAACTATTGGGACAGTTCGTTTTTCTCAAATATTCGACATTATCGATAATATCGGATAAAAACTGTCTTCCCCAATAGTTGTCTAACTTTATTAGACGATAATATCGGGAAAAAACGATCTTCCAAATAGTTGCATATACATGGGTGCCTAACTTAAACTTTATTAGACATTATTAGACGATAATATCTGTCTCTTTAGGTAACTATTGGGACAGTTTGAGGCCTCACTGATCACTGCGTGTCCCGAAATATATTGGGTCGCTATCGCCGATGTAAAATGTCTCACCCCTTGGTTAGTATCACCGTTTTCGTCACCGGAGGGATTCACGTCCCAAATGTTGGTTCCCGGTCACCTGCACCTCTAATAAACGACCTATCTAACAGCTTGGTTGAATTGATGATAAGCAAACAATCATGGTAGATTGACCCCGATCTTCTCTCGATCGGAAACGCAAGGGGGATAAGACTTTCATAGACGTAGGTCGTTTAGATCGGACGGTTACTTTTGTTTCAGGTTCGTTGTTGTTTTGGGTGAATATAGAACATGTTCAAGCCCAAAATTGTAGCAATAATGTTCACGTCGCTGTACGTCAAACCACACTCTCGAACTTGACAACATTCACTTACGGACCACTAAGCAAATAGGTGGAAATACCAGTTATATCACTCGTGAAGATTGATGATTCGATTGCTGACCGGCCGGGGATAACTGCATTTAGTGTTCATTTCTATGCAATGTAAAATCATATCGATGCTGTGGGCGGCAAAGGCTGACAGATTGTTTTGGGTCTGTGGCCGGCTCTCATGACACGGGCAACTGACATTTGCTGACTTTTGTTTTACTATTCTGACGTGTTCTGGGCTGTATATAACAATCAGACACTGTCAAGTAAGTAGGTTGGTACTAGTAAACAACCCTGGACATAGTCATTATAGGAGTCTGAATCAGTTAGGCCGTGAAAATAGCGTCATCGCACAGTATTCCATTAATAAACGGAGTTCACATAACAATCTTATGCTTACAAATAATCCCATAATTATTGACAAGTTGTTACTACCTTATACTAAAATATGTTTGGATGTTTGGAGTACTAAGAAATTCCCACTTCCGGTCTGATTAGACATAAAATACACCACGAATATTCACTTTTGAGATTTTTGGTATGTGTTGGTTCTTGGATATTTCAGCTTCGTCGTCCTGTACTTCATTTAGTAATTCAAACTTCCCAGATTGTGTAAAAACAGAGAGTTTCCTGATTTCAATATCAAAAACGTCTTGGCTTAATTATTTGTTAGGGATGGCCGCTTTGGTACGTGTCCTGTAACTTGCAGCACATGGACCTAAAATCGTTAGGTAATCAAATTTACAGGAAGTTGACAATCCTTAATATTACTAAATCGCCAGTTGTAAACTTTATCAGGATTCCCGTATGAAGTAACACATTATTCTAGCATGGAAAAATATTGATTACTTTTGTGTACTTCCGGTCCGGTTAGACTTAAAATACACCACGAATATTTACTTCCCAGATTGTGTAAAAAACGGAAAGTTTCTTAATATCGATATTGAAACCGCCTTGATTTGCTGGAGACGGCCGCTTAGGTACATACTCTGTAGCTTGGAGCGCATAAACCTAAAAACGCTAAATTGCATAAAACTTTAATTCTCAATAAGGATGAAAGGACCAGTTACTGAGACAAAGCCCTACTCCCCCGAAACCCACCAGATACGAAACCCACTTACCCCGAAAGCCACTCACCGCGAAGCTACTAGTTAAAGACCATACAATATTAATTCTCAACTCTGATAAAAGGACCAGTTACTGCGAAAGACATGCACCGAGAAAGCAACTTATCACGAAGCTACTGGTACACTACAATAAATCTGTGTGTTATAATTCAGCATTACTCGTACATAAATATTATTTTTCCCCAGTGGTGTATTGGTTGTCGCTAGAGAACTTTCTGTTCCAGTAACTTGTTTTTTTTTCTCCCAGGTCTCGTGTATAGTACTATCTGGAAATTGATAAACCATCAGACAGTAGGTTCTCATCATAGCTCCTAATAAAGGTAAGTTTTAACATGTCATTCAATGTAAACAAAACTGCTGAATGAGTAATAAAAATAGGTGTTTGTTGAAGCAATTTATATCTTTTCTAATATGATATTACAACAAGGTTTTAATGTAACTCTTTAAGAACAGGTTAATTTACAGAATACCAAAGGTTTGCTTAATTTATTTCAGTAAATACTTTCTGTACCCAATTTTACTCAGGTAAAGTATGTCCGCCATCAATGACAATACACTGGCCAGTAATATAGCAGGATTCTGGTGATGCCAAAAAAGCAACAGCATTGCCCATGTCTTCAGGTGTACCAAATCTGCAATACAATAAACCCAGATAACACACAGTAATTGTCATATCCTGTTTTGCAAACACAAAACTCTGAAAAGGGAAGTTAAATGTTAACTACTGCCACGAATGTTGACCACATATCTTAAGTTCAATCCCATTATATAACATTTATATACAATACTGGTCGAGTGAGCATGTCGTTTTCAGTCCTTCATGTGTTATGCGTCCGGTGTTGGTGTCTTGCTTCCTTTTAATTGTTCTTTTCACCACGTGAGTAACTTTCTGTTGTACGGGATCCTATTTTAGTGCTTTCTGAAGTGTTTCTTGCCTCTGCCTTGGCAAGGTGATCGGTGACCAATTATAATTTTAATTGTACTTCATATCAAACCAACAAACTGATATTTTCCACGACTGAGTAATCACACCTAAGCTTACAACTCCACTTTTCTGATGAACTTATAAATTTATAAATTTGAAAAGGGTGCAATTTATAAATATCTGATTCTGGATCTCTGCATCAGCCATCATCCACAAACAATTGATTTGGCTGAATACGTTCAAGGCCAATTTCCATGATTGTTATATAGCACCAGTTATTGAAAAGGATGTGGACCACCAGTCGCTTATCTCACACGGTGCGTTTCCAACTGGGAGATTTCTGTTTAATACAACCCTTTACGATGTATAGACACTTGCTGGATTTTAATAAACTATTGGCTTACTTGTCTTGGCAAATATTGCAATTATTCACACTCACGTACATAAATGCACAACCAAAGTTAGAACACGCACAGGAGCCAAGAGTTTTGTCCTCTTGGTGGGTTATTTGCAAACATAAGTGCATTTTTGTTTCATGTTACCTGTTCAGTGCTTTAATTGTGTTAATTTTCCCTCGCAATTTGGCAGGAGGGTTGGTACCCCTGTAAGTGCGAACCGATGTAACCGGCCTGCCTACATGGTTTCAAGGTGGTTTGTACTGTTACGTGATTGTCTTGTATTTTATTTTACATGTAAACCAAATACAATACAATACAATACTAAGTCTGCCTGAAACAACTAAACCCAATTTTCAGGACTGTTATGCAACACCAATTACGACGTATGACGGAGATATGCAGTGGCGCATATCCCATGGTGCGTTTGCGTTTTCCTTTTCAAAGCTCGGTTATCAAGCTCGGATAAGTGTATTTTCTGTGACGAGGTGGACACACTTGAACACATCTTTATAGAATGCCCATCTAATAATGAACTATTACATACATTTAAAATAATCACGTCTGGTCTACTTCAAACAGGCTTTCGTATGCCAATCTGGTGGTTTTTAATTCTGCCACCGCGTCGTTCTAAGGGTTTTCTTTCCCGACAGGCACAACAAATGTTTTGCTTATTAACAAGCATTGTGAAAGCTGCAATTTACACCAGTCGTCGAAACAAGAGGCAACAAAAAGGTTCCAGCGATTCTTTAGACATTTTCAGAACGAGATTTATTTTGAGTATCAAACCGGAATATGAATACCACCGTTTTAAAAAAACAGCTACCTAAATTTGAAACAATTTGGGCAGTGGACGGTGTCTTATGTGACATTCAGAATGATGTACTTCAAATTCATCTGTAATCTGCCACCTTGGTTTTACTTGTTCACTTCGCTGTTCAGGGCTTTTGCCCTATTGAGTCATATTTGGTCTGTATTTATCCTTTTTGCTAATTGTTGTGTTAATCCCTGGTTTCGTGACATCTACACACACAAACACTGAATTGCCACCCTGTTGGATTTTCATTTTCCTCAACACACTGAACGCGCGTGTGAACGCGGTGCTTTTCAGGGCTCCCCGAATTATTACAGGTTTGGCCTCACGACTTAGTCGTGTCGGTTTTCAGCTTTGAAACATTTTTGTATGTCCTGGGCACGACGTTAAAACTACATCCGATTGTGGAGTCTATGGACTTGGAAGAATGAGGTTACCCTTTGCCACAACTACCTCCAGGTCACCCTTGGGCAAGGTGTAGTACCTGTCAGCCTTGGGTGCCGACTTCCCATGTAATATGTTGATGGTTGACGTCAGTAAGGGCATACGGTCATAAAATTCTTGCACAAACAGATTTGCATAGGTGGACAATATTTCATGTAAATATGTATATATATGTTTCAGTTTTCCTTAGCATTTGGCAGGGGAATCGTAACATCTTGTAGTGAGAAGCAGTGTGACTGGCCTGCCCACGGGATGCTAAGGTTTTCATAGTAAAAGTTATCAGTCACATCCGTTAATGTAATTTCGTTTTATTTACCCGTAAATCAAAAATCACAATACAATCATTTAACTCGACAACTACATGCACTTACCTGTTTAAAGGTGTGCTCTTGGCAAGAACAATTTGTTCTTGTCCCCAATTTTCTGTTATAACATTACCAGGAGCTATTGCATTGACTGTAATGTTATGCTGAGCTAGTTCTACTGCAGCAGATCTACAATAAGACATGTAATAATCTATATGTGTAATTGCTAGCATTTCGTAAACGTTTCAATAGTAAGTGACCTAGATATGCCTGAGGTTGGCAACATGTTGAATGGGGAAAAATATACGCAAGCCAGTCAAGGAGCAAAGAAATGAAACAAATTCAAGGTCTATGTTTACAGTTGTTTCTTATCGCTGTAAGTAACAGAGGCACGGGACCAGTAAACAACCCTGACAGTACCAAATCACATTGCATTTTAAGGTTGAACCCCTAAGAAGGGTAACCCTAGAAATCAAAGCAGCTGAAGCGACAGCTTGAATGTCAACATGGAGGCAAGTGACACCAGCTCGGTTCTGTACAGTTAGAGGACTGTAGTAGCATGACTGAAAGGTCAAAGGTCAGAGGTCAACAACTACAAGAACCAATGCTTCCAGTAACCATGTGTGTAAACAACAATGGGACAAGCTAATTATTCTTGATGTATGTAGGACATTCAAAGATTTATTTTGAGCTTAAAATTGTTATAACAAGTTATATAACTATGACAGCTGTCAGTCAATCAAGGAAGGCTTGGTCAAGATGGAAATACTCCAGGACACAAATCAAAGAAAAAGCAGTCAGAACTCAATGTTGTTAACTAAAATTGTGGGTATGTTTGACATGTAGCAGAACAGGGAACTGTGAGCCATATGATCAAGTTTGACAGTTTTAAAATCATCATAAGTCTTCAAGAAAATATATTGGTAAGCCGTGACCCAAAACCAAGTGGGAACATGAACACGTCGATAATAAGAATAAGTGTTTTATATTGTTACTTCTTTCCCTAAAGTTGTGGAATATATCTCGTCAGTAATATTTGTTAAATATACGTATTTTAAAGATTTCGCTATCTGAATGTAATAGCATTTTTTGGTGAAATAATTATGCGAAATCGCTGTGCTTGTTCTACTGGTCTTTTCTAGACATTTCTATTAGTGTGAATTATGAGCTTTCATGAAATATATAGTTTTATAATAATTATGCCACAACGCCATGACCTAGATGTAGAAAATATACTACCTCATGAAACCTAGTTGTCCAGCTTTAGTTGCACCATAAACAGATAAACCTGCATATCCAGTTAATGGTCCAGTAATTGATGAGGTAAAGATGACTCGTGACCCACCAGATTCAGATCCAGATTCCATATATTTAACACAAGAAAATAAATTAAAAAATATATAACGAATAATAGTAACATTTTATAAATATACATTTTTATAGATCAATTAAATGTCATTGATAAAAAACAATGGGCAAATAACAAAATTGGTCAATTGTGTCAAAGAAAAAAGGAGGAATAATTAAAAACTACAATAAAATTGCTCCCAGATTGGTAAATTTAATTGAAAACTCAAAACTATATTGCCCAAAAAAATGACATCGCTATAAGGACACTTAAAAATTAAATCAATATTGTTGCCTGTCAACCATTTTGAATCCAAACGTGGAACAAGATGGCAAGATGCAGAAGATAACCACAATGAAAAAAATCAATACCAAATATAATCGAATGAGAAACGCTTGATAACCTGTTCAAATAGTGGCATTGGGACATTAAAATATCTACAAAAAAAGAAGGAACAAGCAGCCTATCGGCTGAGATAGCTCCGCTGTTAGCAATGCACATTTCAATTAAAGAACTGAAGACATCATTAGAAAATGAACAATATGTATAGTATCAAAGCAATCGGACTTACAGTTTTTAACAAGAAGTCGAAAATATCACTTTTTACCAAAAATGACAAAAATATTCACCAAAATTAGAGAATTGAAGATATCAACATGAAATGAACAAACCTAAGAGAGGTCTACCCAAGGTACATATACACCAAGTATCAAAGCATTCAGGCTTGTAGTTTTCAAGAAGAAGTCGAAAAAGTAAAACATTGACACGGACGACGACGACGGACAATCACTCATATGATAAGCTCCGCTCGACAAAGTAGACAGCGGAGCTAAAAAAAGGGTGCTTATGTATACCATTATATGTTTCTATACTAACTTTGAACATCATCAGTCCAGAAACGTTTAAGGATGCATGGAAATGAAACCAACATAGCTGCCGGCCAGCCATATTTTGTCAAATCACATAACCAACTTACGTGCATAAGTGGTCCTTTTATGTTTGATGTTCTTATCAAGTTATCAAGTTTCAATAACATTGGATTCAGTAGGCCGTCAATTTAACCAATCAGAGTAAATTTTGATCAATCAAAATCGAATTTAACAATTAATATTAACATCATTCATTCATAGTTGCTTAATTTATATGTCACTTGAAGCTTGTGAGCGCATTATGGTGTAGACAATACTAAGCACTTATGCAATCACTACCAGTAATAAATATATAAACTATTAAGGTACAGGTTTCTGTCCTTTACTGTTTACTGTAATTCAACCATATCATTTTCTCACAATATATATCAAAAATATTTCTCACCTTTAAGATATGGTAAGAATGCCTTAGTTGCAAGAATGGAGCCCTTAAGGTTTGTATCAACCACTTCAGAAAGTTCTTCCTCTTTCAGTTCCTCAATGCGAAAGAGTGGAAAAATTCCTAAATAATGAGTGACATAAAACATAACTGTAGCCTCTGGGGTGCAGAACATATATCTATAGGGTAAGTATGACTGCACATAGTAAAATAAAAATCACTCCAGCATTTGTATGGTTGTACAAAAACTAAATCTTTCCTGTGCCTTTCATTGTTTGTACAATGTGAAAACTAAGCAAATAATAGATATATCTCCACATATATAAAATACATATTATACTAAAAACATTGTATGTGTCCTCAGAGTGATTAGACGCTGAGTATGTTATTAGGCACTGAGTGGTTTGCCCCAGGTTATATTACATATAGTCAGTATAGGTGTTTAAAAATGCAGTTATTGTGCTTAGTACCGGGTATTAGAGTATTATTAGAAACATAACATAAATATTTTATTTTCATCAAAAATCTAAGAAGGGTTTGCGACGAATATAATTTCAGTAACTCATTTGGTATAAAACTGTTATTCGAAATGTATGTTATATGTTTTTAGGTACTTACAGTCAGACTTGTTTTCAAATAAATAATTGTACATGAATGAATTAGCATGTTATATGCTATTTCAAATTTCGTGGTAGTTTTTTTTCTGGTAAATTTTCAATCCTCATCCAAAGACAAACGTGTAGTTGAAACACATTTGCAGTGATTCAATAATTTATACATTTTTTACAAGTTTGCATAAATCTTATTGACAATTTCCAGTAGTTATGTTTCATTAATAGGGTTATATTCAACATCTAATACACTTTTCATACCGTACAAATGCAAACATATCTCCTAGTCTGTATGAGGGAAGGGGTGATAACACTCATCTATTTTAGGACAAAAGCTGTTTATATTCATCTCATAGAACTGGGTGCAATCAAATAATTTAGTGAAGAAATAACCTATACAATTATACAGTTACTTATGTCATAAATATCTGTACTACTACTAAAAAAATTATTATCAAAGTTGTAATCATTTGTCTTCTATTAGGCCTTTCATGTCTGTGTAACTTAAATTTTGATAAATGACACACAGGAAAAATGCCATACAAATATCTTAGATGTACTAAAAATGTCAGCTATTTCGTCTAATGGTATTTTAATATTGTTGGCTATACAATTACATAACAATACATTTTAAGCTTATATACAAATTATTACAGCAATTCGAAGAAACATTAAATGGTCATATATTTTTAGTTTTATTATACACACTTATTATTCTTAGCATGTGAAATTCATACTGCTGTCATGAATTTGTTTTCGCGTATCTGTTGGTCGACTTAATTAACTGATTATTAGCGAATTGCTGTGTTATGTCTGTCATCGTTTAGGTCTATTTGAAGTTTTGGACGGAACTTGGCTCAGTGATTTGGAACTAATTACAAGATACCGTCGCTATTCTGACATCCATAGTTATTAATGTAGTGAACGATTAATCAAAAGATATGACGTATTCAGTACTTAGTGTGATTGGCTTTATGATTGAAGGTTACGCCCTAGAGTCTTTTTACTGCTTTGTAATTGGTTAGAGTTTTGAAAATGAATAAAGAGAGTTTGAGTTGGTCTTGGCGAATACTCCACGACAGACGCAGCCTTGGGCAGTCGAGTCCAGTCTGAGAGTCCGAGAGAGTCCAGGGGCGAGCCTTGACGCAGTCCAGTCTTGGGCTAGTCTTGGGTCAGCCTTGCGAGAGTCTTGGGGACTTTTCCCCAGGGCGCTGTGTCTTATAGAGTGCTCGATTGACCGACTAAGACGAGAGCTGAAACGTATTTCGTTGTGTGTGTCTTATTTGACTGTAAAGTTAAAGTGACTTTCCCGATCCCGTACCTCAAGGGGACGAGATAGAGAGACGAGACGAGATTCCCCCCTGACAAGTGTGGAGAACCCGAGAGAAAGAGAATTTCCCCCCTGATACTGCACCCAAATAACACAGAGACTGTTTTTGCCTTGAGACGTGCCAGACTTTAGTTCATGCGAACAAGATAAATAAAAGTGTTTTGAAGATCAATGATCATACAAAATAATTTGTTGTTAATGGGGAATTCAGATTATTGTTTGCTTACCTGCGTTTTTTGTTATTTTCTTATGTCAACAAAATGTTGGATGTTATGGAAAAATCATGCAAATACATGCGATTTATGATGGTAACAGTTCAGCCTATTTAAAATGAGACAACTGTTTTTTTTTCTTCTTGTGGGAAAATCGCTGCTCAAATTGAACTCGGAAACAAAAAACATCCCAGCCAGCCTGACATTTGAGAAAACGGTACATTTTTCACACTTTTGCTGTTTGGAACAGATAAATAATTACCTATGATATTGTCATGGTATTTTGATGTACCTACACAGTTGTGTCACTTTTCAATCAAGTAGTGAAGCTATACTCTCCCATAATCAAGTTTGAAAACAATTATATTATTCGCTAAGAGCATTTGTATAAGCATCTGAACAAAATTGGGATTTGCCTTTTTCAACTGGACTGCAAGATGTGTAGTTTGAAGAATGCAATATACGGTATTTTGATTGTCAGAACAAATATATAAATACTTTGCATTTAATGACTCGAAGTTATATCAGAAAAGATATTAAAATATAATGAAAGGATAATTGGTGGATAATGATAAGTATTATCAGCTCAGTCTACAGAGAAGATAACCAGATGCAGGTTCGTGGGCACTTGGGAGTGAACTTTTTTTTTTTTGCTTTTTATTATCCAGACAGTCTTGGCTATAGACCGTACAAATTTTGTAGAATTGTGAATGGTGGAACATACTCAAAAAACGATTTTAAAATATAGATGCAAACAGGTGCAAACATTCTCTCTTTTGAATGCTTGGCAAGATTTAGCAAGGCTGTACATAAATAATGAAAAAGAAACATGATGAAAAAAAGAAATGACGGGATCTCCATATTATGCACTATATTTAACTTTTAACAAAACGATAATACATTTAAATTTGGAACTGCTACAGCCATTTTAATTATGAGCATTAGCAAACCTCTTAGTGAATTGTTATGCAAATTAGCAATTATCTCAGCTTCTTTTTAGTGCACATCCCAGCTTTAAAAAAAATAGCTCCTGGACGCCTTGACCTTTTGTTTTGAAATTTTCACAAACAATTGAAAATGTGTTTATCTTCAAAACGCCGTCGGGGCATTGTTTTTGGTTGAATCGTACAGACAACTAGCTTGGGTGTTAATTTATGCATAAACTTGAAGTAGTGAAAGTTTTGTGGACAAGAGAGGTCATCTTGGTTTCCTAATTAACTAATTAAAATACCTGTCAGGTAAACTGCATCTCTACCTTAAGTGTATATGCGAAAATTTGATGACAATGCAGTTTTATTCTTAATCTTTAATTTCAACTTCTTTTAATTTGACGCTTTGTTAGGATTTCGATTATTGCTTCACTTGACCTTCAGCTGGGTAACCCAAATCGGGATTGCCCAAGTAAAACCACTCAACCTATGACATAAATAATTTGACAAGTGGTGGTTTATGAGTAATTCCACTAGATAAAACTAAAACTGTTTTGTTATGGGAAGAAAGATTGTTTATGATTAGCTTGAGTTGTTACTTACTGGGATAAATAAGTCACAAACACATATACTCACCTGCATTGCACACCAATATATTAATCTTCCC